TGTTAATATTTTGTTGAGGACTTTTGCATCTGTGTTCAGGGGGCATATTGGTTTGTGGGTTTTTGTGTGCATGTGTTTTTTTTTGTAAATACTGATTTTGCTTTTGGTTTAAGGGTAATGCTGGCCTCATAAAATGTGTTGGCAAGAGACTATAGAATTAGTGTCATTTGTTCTTTGAATGTTTTGTAGAATTTGCTAATGAAACCATCTGGGCCATTTTTATTGATCTTTCTGAAAACAAGTTCCAATTTAATTATCTATTTTCTGTTGTCAATTTTATTGATTTATGGTCTTTATTATTTTCTTATTCTTACTTTAGGTTCATTTTGTCCTTTTTCTAGTTTTGTCAGGTAGAAGCTTAGATTATTGGTTTGAGACTTTTTCTACTACGAACATTTATTGCTATAAATTTTTCTATGAGCATTGCTTTACCTTTCTTTGTATTACAAATTTTGATATGTTGTATTTTCATTTTCATTCAGGTCAATATGTGGTATTCTTTTATTTCTTTGGACTCTTCCTCTCTGACCTGTGGATTATTTAAAAATGTGCTATTTAATTTCCAAGTGTTGGAACATTTTCCTGTTATCTTTCTGTTACTGATTTCTAGTTGATACTATTTTGGTCAGAGTTAAAAATACATTGATTTCAATTTTTAGTCCCTTTGTTTTATATAGTGTTTTTGAGTTTATCTCTTAATTTTTTTTTAGCAATTGTGGTAGAAATTACAATATACATGTATGGTTTATCACAGCCTCCCAGCATCAATATTTTATCATTCAAGTGAAATGTAGATATCTTACCAACATTAAAATTGCTTTACCTTCTCACCTTTATGATCTAGTTATCTTTAATACTACCCTAAATACATCAAGAATGCTATAATTTTTGCTTCTGTCAAAATAATTTTAAAAACTTAAGAACAGTTTACTGCATTTGCCCTTTCTGTTGTTCCTTCTTCATTCCTGTTGTCCAAAATTTCCTTTCAGTATCATTTCCTTTCTCTCTGATTAACTTTTCAAATTGGATCTATTGAATTATTTTCTGGTTCTCTGATTTTTCCCATGTTTTCTCCATTTGGTTTTTGTATATTGATTGTCTATCTGGCAGCCTTGCTAAACTCACTTATTCTGGTGGCTTTTTTGTAGATTCTATTCAATTTTATGTAGACAGTCGTGTTATCTGTGAATAATAAGAGTTTATTTCTTCCTTTCCAATCTGGATGCTTTTTTATTTATTTTTCTTGCCTTATTACACTGACTAGAACATCTAGTACAATGTTGAATAGTAGTGGTGAGAACAGACTTCTTTATCTTGTTCCCTGTCCTAGCGAAAAAATACTGTTGCGCTATTACATATGATTTTAGCTGTGTGTGTTTTTTTTTTTTTTCTGTAGGTGCCACAGATGTTGAAGAAGTTTCCTTCTATTACTTTACTCAGGGTTTTCATTAGGAATAGATAATGGATTTTTGTTAAATGTATTTTCTGTGTCTAATGTGATAACCATGTGTTTTTCCTTTTTTAGTTTCTTAATATGGTGAATTACACTTACTGATTTTTGAATGTTAAGTGAACCTTTTAGTCCTGGAATAAATCTCACTTGGTCATGAGGTATTAATATTATCTTTGTATACATTGTTTATTACTGTATTCAATTAGTTAATCTTTTTTTAAGATTTTTACATATATATTCATGAGGGATATAGGGCTGACTTTTTCTTGTAATGTCTTTGGTTTTGGTGTCAGGGTAATGCTGGTCTCAAGAGCACTTTTTTGGAAGAGTTTGTGTAGAGTTTTTTTTTTTTAAATATTTGGTCAGTTCATCAGAGAGGTTTATCTGGGCCTGGAATTTTCTTTGTGGGAAGGCTTTTAACTATAAATCCAATTGCTTTAATAGATATGGGACAATACTGGTTATCTCTGTCTTCTTGAGTGAGTTTTGGTTGTGTTTTTTTTTTTAGGGATTTGTTCATTACATTTTAGTTGTCAAGTTTATTGGCCTAACTTTGTTCATAATATTCCTTTATTATCATTTAAAAATGTTTTATCATTTCTGATGTTTGAAATTTTTGTCCTTTTTTCCTGATTAGTCTGGCTAGTAGTTTATGAATTTTAATGATCTTCTCAAAGAATCAGTTTTTTTCCCTATATTGGTTTGTCTTCTATTTCATTGACTTATGCTTTGATCTTCATCATTTCCTTTCTTTTGCTTGCTTTATATTTAAGTTATTCTTTTTCTGGTTTCTCAAGGTAGATGCTTAAGTTGATTTAAGACCTCTCTTCTTTTTCTACATAGGCTTTTAGTGCTGCAGATTTTTCTCTCAGTACTGTTTTAGCTGCATCATACACATTTTGATACGTTGTGTTTTCATTTTTGTTTATATCAAGGTGTTTTCTGTTTTCCCTTTTGATATCTTCTTAGATCCATCGATTATTTAAAAATGTGTTATTTAGCCTACAAATAGTTGGAGATTATCCAGAGATCTTTCTGTTATTTTTACATTGACATCAGGGAACATACTTTGTGTGGCTTGAATTCTTTCAAATTTATTGAGATTTGTTTCATAGCCAGGTTGTGATTTATCTTTGTAGGTGATCTGCTATTATTGGGTAGAATATTCTATAAATGTTAGTTAGGTCAAGTTAGTTGATAATGTTGTTCAAGTACTTTGCAGTTTTAACGAGTTAATTTAAATGTATGTTTTTCTAATATGCTTTATATATTTCGCATTTATACATCATGGGTTCAATTTTATTCTATCCCAGTATAGAATTACTTCTTGTGACAGATTTTATTTTATAAAGAAGGTCACAACATCATCTCTTGTCCCTCATGCTCTTCTAGAATGTGGCCTTGCCACAAAGAATAAAGTCTAACTCCCCTCCACTTGAGTATTGGCTATCCTTAGTGACTTGAATCAGTATAGTGTAGCAGGAATGATGTTTCATGGCTCCATATAAAGAGGCCATGGTTAGGTGCTCAGGTCTATAAACCTGAGCCATTCCAGGCCAGGTGTCAAATATGTAGGTGAAGAAAAGTAATTTTGGAAGAAAATCCTTTAGCTCCAGCTTTTGCAGCTGTTGAAATCAACACCAGTCATTTGAGTCTTCCCTGATGAGTCCCCTATGACCCATAGAATCCCTAAGCATAATAAAATGTTTATTGTTCTATGTCACTTAAGTTTGATTAGTGGTTGTTGCATGACAATAGTACAGTCCCCCCTCAGTATACCCAGGGGACTGTTTCCAGGATCAACTACCCCTTCCATATACCAAAATCTGTATATACCCAAGTCCCCATAGTCTGACCTGGAAAACCTGTGTATATGGCAATCAGCCCTCTGTATATGCAGATTTGCATCCCCAAAATATTGTATGTTTAATCGTGTTTGGTTGAACAAAATCAGTGTATTGAGTGGACCTGCATTTGTTGTTCAAGAGTCAACTGTAGTGAAGAGATTTCTTTTTCTGTAGAGTTTAAAGGTGGTAAACATTTTAGTTTTCTACGTATCTGAAAATTTCCTTAACTTCGCTCTTAATTGGTGGTTTAATTGACTTTAGAATTCTTGGATATAAAGTAATTCTCAGAACTTTGAAGTTATTTCTCCATTGTCCTGTTGCATCATGTTTTGCCAGTGAAACATGATGTAAATCTGATTCTCATTCCTTTATGTGGGCAACGTTTTCCCCTTTTGAAGCTTTTAGGATTTTGGAGTTTCAGACATTTTATCAAAGTGCATTTAGGTAATCAATGGGCCATTTTGTCTGAGGACTCATGTCTTTTTATTTGTCTCAGTAAACTTATTATAGTAGTCTAAAATCTTTAACCCTTTACTCTTTTAACCCTCTTTAGAGTTGTTTACTTTTTGATTAATTTTAATTGGTTTCTCCCTTTCACTGTGTTGTCTTTCATCAAATTTGTGTGCTTTTTGGCTGTTTTGTTGATTTCGTTTGCTTTTTGAGATGCCATGTTAGCTTCACTGCTAACATAGGTCAGTTCATTGCTGCCTGCATCCTGAGACTGAGGACAGCATAGTACCAGAAAGTGTTTAGGTGTTTGTCATTTTCCTAGGTGTCACTAGATACTGGGAAACTTCCTAGTCTTTTGGGAATAAAATACCTGTAATTACGTTATCCACCCATGGCCTGAAGGCAGAAGAGAAGCCAACCATTTGTGTTTTACAGAGGTACTTCCACCAATAACTCTTTAGTTTCCTTCAGGGAAGTTTATCACTTTCCTTTTTTGCTGCTTCAGAGCAGGAGCAACACCCACATTTGGCATCAATTTTTTTCCTGGGTACTCTATAGGAATATGATTAGCTCCCTTAACCTGATCTCTTTTGCCTTTTGTTTTTCAGTAATGAGATTACTCAACATTTTTTGTTCACTGAGGACACTTACCTTTTGTTTGTTTTTCAGGACTCTCTTAGAAATTAAAGAGCAGGTGGAACTATGGATCAGGTGCTAAGTCTGTCATTTTAGTCCAGTTGTGGTGGCTGGGTTTAAAATGCAGAGAAATCTTATGTGCTTTGTATATGGACCCATAGTTCCACTTTTTCTTCTGCCACTTCTTTCTTAGGTCTACTTTCATTATCAGATAGAAAAACTACTCATGTGTTTCTTAATCTTGTAGCTCTTCATCTATCCTTGGATGTTAGTATCAATGAAAAAATCTCTTTTTGTGAATTACATTAATAAGAAGGTGATTTAGATTCTAATTTTGACAAGACTGCATGGAATATGTTATCAAGTGAAAATGCCATAGTTTGCATAAATTTTTGGAAAGATGTTGCCTCTGTCCCTTTCATTTTTTTTTTGTATATCAAAAGATATTTAGGATGATTTTCAGTGACTAAAATAATCACAGTTATATCAGGCTGTAAAAGAGTCAGTTTTGAATATGTTTGCATAGGCTTTTAAGCAAATGAGAGTGTTTATTTTTCTGCTAATCTGTTGATTTACTTGAGACTTTATTAAAGAAAGATCTTTTTTTCTTCCAGAGCAGCATCTTAGACATGTCGAAAAAGATGTTTTGATCCCTAAAATAATGAGAGAAAAGGCCAGAGAGAGGTGTTCTGAACAAGTTCAAGGTAAGATTCAAATATTCATATAAAGATCAAATTTATTTTTAATAATATGATCTGAATTTAATCCTTAGCCTCAGAGTCAAGTAGTCAGTGAATTAATATGTATGAATTGCTTCTCACCCTTTCACTGAAATACCAGTATTTCAGCTTTCAGAACTTCCAGCAGTGTTCAATTCATTTACAATTTAAAAATATTCCCCCAAATTACTAGTAAAACACTTTTTCCTCCAAAAGTACAGTTGTATATTGAGAAAAATTTGTTATGAGTGTTTTGGGGAACTGAGTTATTCTGCTGATTTTGATAGGGAAGAAGAAAAATCAAATCTAACATGTACCTGTTTTTCATCTATCAACATATTCATATATATATGTGCGTATGTGTGTATATATATTCTAAGATGATTTTCTTTGGTGTCATTGTCTATTACTGAATTGTTAATGGAATCCCAAAAGGACCTACAGTGAGTCTGAGTTTTTTGTTTTATGTTTCTAAGTGGAAGATATTTATGTAAATGCATGCACTAGGCACCCACACATGTATGTTTTTCTTTGGAAAATGTTTTTTAATATGAAATATTCCTATATTCTATAAATCTAGAGACATATTATTGATTAATATTTAACACTCTAGGGAAAAATGTAAATGAAGCAGTGGAAGGTAAAAATGAGGTAATAATACATTTGTAAGTGATGAGTAACTAGAAAAACAGGTGGCAATATTAGAAATATCTTTAAAAAATAAACGACCTCTTAGAGTGGCCATCAAAAAAAAGTAGTAAAATTTTACTGACATAGGCTATTTTTCTGGCTCCCCTTCTTCACTTTTCATTGTGGGAAGGGACCACAATAATTTTTAGAGAGGATGATAGGCTGTACTTCCACTGCAAGTTTCTATATAGGGGAGCAGGGCTGTGTCAACTCCAAAACTGTGTCATTTCTGTCCTCATTCCTGCCGTCAGCCCTTAGAGAGGAATTTTGCAGTTGATAGATGGAGAGATAAGAATAGTTCCTTAGACTCAACAATTGTGATGGTCATTTCTGTTTCTTAAGTTAAATGACTTATTATGACCTATTCCATTTTAAAATCCATCTATAAGTTAGTAATTTAAAATAAATAATCATTCTATAGTTTTGCTTTCACTGTGAATTAGTTGTTTAATCAGAGCTCCTTCCTTCAACTCCCACCGCCAAATGTCGGGAGAAACTAACCCATTGGCACCTGCAAACAGGGTTTGGTGCACATCTGACATTGGCAGGTGTCATGCTGATAGTCACAAGAGGTATGTCCTCCACTTGCATCATAGAACTTTAAAAAATATACATCCTGATTCAGGTGAGGGAGGATAAAACTTAAAAACGGATAATATAATTATAGGGTTAACTTTTCACTACTAGGAAAATTTACTTATTATTGATATCATTCTAAAGTTATAAAAATAAGTTGTATTTATTCTGTTTTGTAACACATTGTCCTGATACCTAGAATGAAAGAAAGCCAGCTAACTCAATTATAGATTTAATTTTTACTGACGTGATTCAGATGAAAATGCAGAATGATTGTGTAGCTTTGATTTTCAGAAATGCTTTTGTTTACTCTTAGTCAGTGAAACTTTGTTTTTAGTTTTCAAAATGAAAGAATAGAGTATAACTTTAAAATATTTGTGTTGCACAACTACTACTTTGTAATGGTACAGAGGAGAAAGTGTTTAATTTTTACTTCTTTATCAAAAGTTGTTTAGGATGTTGATGGTTAAGTTTTGTTTTTTAATATCTTCACAGTTTTCTAAAGACTTGAAAGCATCTTAAAATCTGAGATTCATTTGGATTATTTCAATGCATTTGCTTTTATTAGAATGTATGTTATTATTGATTTTTGAATATTTAAATTTCTTATAGGTAATCATAGATTGATTATTTTAGGCCTTTGGTCCAAAATAGTATTTTAGAGTCTAAAATTGATTATTTTATAAGATAAATCCTTAGTATTTTCCCTGTTTAACTATGTAAATTAGGAAAGAATGAACATTAGTATTGCTCGAGCAGCAGAAGAAAGCTGCATTTAAACTGAACAATAAGACATAATTTAGAATCAGGACACTTGCATTGTAGTTTATTTACTGTTTATAGCCTTTGCTTTATTAAATAATTATAGGATTTTATATAAAAGCATTGTGCGTGCTAATTGTTTGATTCTTGGATAAAGATATAGAAATTTTAATAAGTGATCTGACTTTCTGCTAAATGCCTGAAACATGATTATGTAGGAAAGCTTTTCTGTTTGATTTTTTTTTTTTTTTTAATGTCATTTCAACCTAGCTGATCATAAGAATTGGGTCAGACTACCAGCAACTTAGGTTTGTGAAGGGAGTGGAACAGCTTTTCCAGGGACAAAGAGAAATGAAATCACTTTCAATGAAGGAAAGATGCCTCATTATAGTCACCAACAGCAGTTATTGACAGCTACACTTCCTATTAACAAGGAGCATTTAACTAAGAGTTTGGCTGTTGGATCTTTGGACTTGATCTAATTTGCTAGCATTAATTAGTTTCTTTTGAGCACAGACACTTGGTGCTCACAGCTATAGATTTGGAGGGCTAATTAGGATAGAAAATTGAACAGAATTGGGTAAGGCATTAACCTTCAACCATTACCAGCTGGGACACTGATAAAGACCACAGAGTCCAAATGCTCCCTATTGATGTGAGGAGTACCCTAATGAATATCAATTTCAGCCAGGTTGCTATATTCTTACTAGTTCTGTCTTCGTTATAATTTTTTAACCAGCTTACATGATACCTTCATTATACACTATTGGTTTTTACTATATATTGATTTAGTCTAAGTTGCATATTTCACCTAATGTTTAAATATGGTTAAAATGTCTTAGCAGATAACATTTAGAATATTTCATCATTATATACTCCAGTACTTCTAAAATTGACTTTAGTCAACAATTGCATGATTCTGATTCTACAGTGAATTTGTGTAAGTTCCAGTGACTGCACCATTTCAATATAATGAAAACTATAACCCAATACAAAAAAGCTTTTGGGTGACAATTAACCAATGTTTATATTATTAAAATAGTGTCAACTTTAGAATCTTGGTATGAAATATGTTTTTAAGAATGTAAAGTAAGAAACATAAATGTGTATGTTTCTTTTTGAAGAGAAAAAATAGTGATCACCTCTTCTTTTGGAACTTTACTTTCATTTGATTCATAAAAGTGTCTTGACTTAGAGATTAGATACTTACAGAATTGAGAATACTGATCTTATTATTGTGGAAATTTTGACAAGATTATAAGCTCTGTTACTGTTAAAAGATGAGTTACTGATTAAAATATAAATTTCAACTTTATAGTATTCTTCTTTTGCCAGTGACATTATTGGCAGTGAATAGAGCCACTAAAATAAATGACTAAAGTATACTGGTAATTGTATGGTTCTTAGATAAAGATACAGGAATTTTAATAAGCGATCTGACTTTCTGCTAAATGCCTGAAAAATTATTATGTAGGAAAGCTTTTCCATTTGATTTTCTTGGTCAACATTAAAACAGTGAACACTGAGTACCTTGGGAATGGAACCGAAGGAAAACTTTACAATGGCTAAATCTCTTTCTTTCTTCCTCCCACTTTCCTCACCTCTGAAAAGCCAAAACAGAAATCCCCTTCTAGCAACGGTGATGATGGAATCATTGCTCTTTCTTGGATCTAGGAGTTATCAACTTGTATCTTAGGGAGATGGTTCGACAAACTCTGGAGGATACTTTCAGCTTGGGGCCTTTTTCCAGCTGTTCGAATTCACTAATTTAATGATTTATATTTTCTACTTTAGTAATGTTTTTAAAAATATTGTTTGTGTCATATATTCATAGAGTATGCATTCTAATATTTTAAATTTTTCTTCTGGAAATAGAACTTCTGTAAGATAAAAAGTCACTGAATTGCTATGTTTTGTAAAAATACCTCATTATATTTCTTTGCTTTTTTGAAGTACATAGTTAACATTTGATATAAAGTCTCTGTTAGATAATGATGTTTGCTTTAAAAATAATAAGAGCTTTTTTTCTTTTTGCTGTGAGAGATCAAGACCAAAAAAGTACTTTGTCATCAGGAATGGCTTGGACCTTTTTTTTTTTTTTTTTTTTTGAGAAAGAGTCTCACTGTGTTGCCCGGGCTAGAGTGCTGTGGTGTCAGCCTAGCTCACAGCAACCTCAAACTCCTGGGCTCAAGCAATCCTCCTGCCTCAGCCTCCCGAGTAGCTGGGACTACAGGCATGCGCCACCATGCCCGGCTAATTTTTTGTATATATTTTTTAGTTGTCCAATTAACTTCTTTCTAATTTTAGTAGAGACAGGGTCTCGCTCTTGCTCAGGCTGGTTTCGAACTCCTGAGCTCAAACAATCCGCCCGCCTTGGCCTCCCAGAGAGCTAGGATTACAGGCGTGAGCCACCGTGCCCTGCCTGGAACTTTCTTTAACCTAGCTATATTCTTCTTCTCACTGACTCTTTTCTTCCCTTGGGCCTTCTTTTGCTTTATTTTAATGTTTCTTTGCTATCTGTGTTGCAGTCTTTTTGATCTTTTGTCCAATAAGTGGGGTATAGTTCTGAAGGAATTATGTAAAGTACAAGGAAGCATGGATTGTTTGTTTCTTGGAAACATCACAGAGCTATAGTTAAATAATACAGAAGCTTGACAAAATGCCTGCCCTCTTCTATCAGTCACACATAACTGAAGTATGTTAAATTTTGCTAAATTCCAAAGATATGTGAGTAGATAAAAAAGGAAAATTAAAAATGCTTAGGATATTCTTTAGGAAGTTTGCATGCAGAGAATTATCAAAACAGCTTTGAAACAAGGTGAAGGAGTATATAGACTTTTGAACCTGCCAAGAACTTTTCCTTTGTTGTTTGAACTGTACCATTATTTTCATAGATATTTTTGTCATTTAACCAGTTCATCAATATTAACTAACACAGAAGTGGAGATGCAACACAT